GCTCATTAATTTGAGATATATGTCACCGTATCCATACGCATTACTCGATTTATTTTATTTGTTTTCTTTCACACAAGTGATTGGCTGTTGCTTGATATCCCCGGTGTGGTTGCGCTTGATGTGCATGTTGACAAGGTGCCTACCTGTCTATTACCCACTACCTCGTCCATACTTGCTCCAGGAGACATTTGGTCGTTGCTGGAGGGGACGGGGTGCACGGTCCTTTTGGTCGTGTTAGGATCAAAGAATGGTTCCATGCGCTCAGTGTGTAGCGGACTACGGTCCAGCCACCGCCTTGTGTGCGCTTGATTCCCCAAATACAGTGTGCTTGTGTTTGCCTGTGAAGGAGTGTGGGCCGGCTCCGTTGATGAAACGTGGCTCCCATCCGCATGCCTCCCGGTCCTATTCCTTCAAGTTTACACTGGATATGGAGTGTGGATGGAGTTGTGGGTGGTGCAACGCAATCCACCCATTGTCCCTCTGTAGGTGCAGGCGTCCTGTGGCTTGCCACAGTGACAGGCAAATCCGAAACCGGATGCCGCCAACCATTATATATATATATATATATATATATATATATATATATATATATATATATATATATATCGTACCTTACTAACGGCGTGGAGTCTTGTAGATTCTCGATGTTTGGTCTTTATTGCCTACGCCTAGGCGATCCTCCGAAACACACATATAACTTAGCGCGAACCAACGCGTTATCGGAGTCCAGCCAAGTTGACAGGCAAACGTCTGACTAGCCGAACAACCTCCACGTCGTGCCAGCTGGGTGCTTCGGGTTATTCCCGTTCCAGCGAAGAGTTCGGTTGCAATGTTCTAGGACTTGAATTTTCACCTGGCAAGCGTACTTCCTATAAAAATCCACAAACATCCGTTTAACAATACTGCGACATAGCGGATTTGACTCACCACTGAAGTCACTGTCTCTTCCTCTTCCGGAGGATCTTCCCCACTGCATGAACATCATCCAGTTCGAAGAGTTCCTTTGATCCCTTCATACGATGGCGAACGCAGCAAGCAAACTCACGAATTCAGTCACGATCCACAAATCCACTGACCAGGTCCACTTGCACATACATGGTTGGTAGCATCCGGTTTCGGATTTGCCTGTCACTGAGGCCAGCCACAGGACGCCTGCGCCTACAGAGGGACCATGGGTGGCTTGCGCTGCACCACCCACAGCTCCAACCACACACCCCATATCCAGTGTAAACCCGAAGGAATAAGACCGGGAGGCATGCGGATGGGAGCCACGTTTCATCAACGGAACCGGCCCACACTCCTTCACAGGAAAAAGTCGGTTACGCTGTATTTGGGAATCAATCGTACATAAGGCGGTGGCTGGACCGTAGTCCGCTACACACTGAGTGAATGGAATCACTATTTGAGTCTAGCACGGCCACAGGCATCGTGCACCCCGTCCCCTCCAGCAACGACCAACTGTCTCCTGGAGCCAGTATGGACGAGGTAGTGGGTAATAGACAGGTAGGCACCTTGTCAACATGCACATCAAGCGCAGCCACAACGTGATATCAAGCAGCATCCAATCATTTGGGACGACGATATCGATTACAATTAATAGATTAATTTATACAGATATGGTGACATAATTCTTCACAAAATGAGCATATAAAAGTTATTAGTTCTCAGCAAATCTGCGATTGATTCAAAACGTCAGAAAACATATTTTAAGAAAGTTTCACAAATAAAAAATGTTGTCGAAGTTAACTACAATTAGCTTAAGCGACGTGTGCAAGTTTATAGAAGATAGTGCATGTAGACGTTGATATGAGGCAAAAGAGCATTAGGACAATATAACAAACACATACTTTTACATCTAAATATACACACAAATCTTGTGGTAGTGGTTAACTCGCTAAATTTTTATGCGCTTACCAACAGTACCTGTTTGTGTTCTCGTGATCATGCCTTCACAGACGACCCTCTCACTGCAGGGAATAAAACATTTATTTATTTTTCTGTAGCTTATAGCTGAGTGGTCAAGCTGGGATCACTCTTGAGTTTGAGAAGGCGGGTGCCCGGTATCAGTCTGTCTCTTCGAATGTCGAAAACTAATGCTCGAAAGAAACACGCGAAGATCAGTAGAACGAGTCAGTAGTCTGTCTCTACTGTCCACTGGACTGTTACCGTAGACAAAACTACCCTCATGTATGTGTTCGCTTGGTGGCAGGCGGCCCACTCGTGCGTTTAGATCTTTTGCGAAAACGACAATAACGGAATTTTTAAAGAAACGTGGAAGATCATGTAGTTGTTGGTAAAAGCAATCCTTGACTGCATCCGGGTTGCAGTCTGTAGGAGCGTAGGCAGAGATGACAACTAAGACACGTGTAACATCTCGACACTTATTTAACTTACATGTACACTGCAATCTGACTGCACGTAGCCGACTGTTGACTGGGATCCAGTCAAGCAGAGCGGACTCAGTTTTATCACGCAGAGCAACCCCAACACAAGCCTGATCAGAATCGGTAGCCTCTGAGTTTCCGGTAAGATGCAAATGGTATTTGACACCCAGGTTTGCCGGATTGTTCCTTCTGATGACGGTACTGAAGTCTTGCAATCTGGTTTCGCAAAAGCAGCGGATGTCTACTGAGGGCGTCTCATGGGTGCGAGCCAGGCACACTTACCGTCCGATCTGCATGAGAGTGCCAACATTAAACGCTACGATGCCGAATGGAGAACCAGGTCTAAGAAAAGCTGAGACCTCGCTGGAATCTGAGAAGGCTGTGATCGCCGTATATGGAACACCAAGAGTTTCGTACTTTCTTCAAGTGCGACTAGTGAATTGGCTGTAACCGGATAGGGCATAATTATAGTTGAAGAACGGGACGTGAGACGATCTGTGAATGGACGTTGAGCAATTGAGACAGTAGAGCCAGTAGGCATTGCAAGAGCAATATCAGTAATAGAATTCACCCATGGACGGGCGTGATGCTACCCGGTTGAGTAGGCTGCACTAGAGGGTTTTTTAGGGTCCCTACCCCAGGTCACCAATCAAAGATCTAACCTACATGGCAGAAAAGCGGTATGAGGGTGTCGCCACTCCTTTGGGATTCAGTGACCAAACGAATGGTCTTGCAAAGGACCATGGGTCAAACGCACCTTCGAATTACAATTTCAATCAGAGAGAGACAAGTTGTGGTGACTACTTTTTAGTGCGAGTCACGCCCGCTATGTCACAGTGTTTTTAAGCGGATATGGGTAAATAGAAATTAGGTGTTGCTCGCCCGAAAACACTGCACCACTATGACACCTTTCGATGTTATTACATCTCAGCTACGGTCCTCGTGATCGAAAGACCAAGGTTCACTTCAATGGTAATCGCGGTCAACATTGAGATTGCGCGTCGCAATCCATCCACACAACATGTACTTCAAAATGACCCTCAACCTCGAATATATGTTACTTTTTATATGGGGAACTATTGCCACCACGTCCTGTAATACTACGATATTCCGGAACGGGACAATCCCCAACCACCCATTTGGCACCACGAGGAGATTGTTCGGCAAGCCAAACCAAAAAACTGAAAGGTTTACGGTTTTGCTTGCCACCAACACCGTATTGGTGATGTAATACATTGAGTTCGCCGTTTGCCATTCTGTGGGAGTTCTTTTCCTCGCTGTATTTTTTATGTTCACCTGCTGTATTCTTTCTACAAAATGGAAGGAAATGGTGTCAAGCACTGTTCGCGGAGCTCAGTGGTCTAGGGATCATGGCGATAGCCGCTAAGCATTATGCGCCGAGTTCCACTCCCAGCTCGGCTATCTCTACCTGATGAGCCTAAACCAAGACAAAACCGCCGGTCGTGGAGTGCAGGGATGGGAGACAGCCACATCGAAACCCTCCACGAAAGGATATGGAATTAGTAGTATGCCGGTGCGTCACACTGGCGTTTCATTACCAAATGAACACCACCAGTCGTGTGCGCAATGTTCGGATACTTCTAGATCACCCAACCTTAGCATACTCAAACCATTGATCTGCGGGTTACAAGCCAAACGCCTGAGCCAAATGGCAACCTACCGGCGAGTGACTGGATGCTCTGACACAGAGGTCTTTCTGCCTACCGATCTAGGTATCTGTTTACTTCCACTGGCATTTGCGTTATTTGTTATGTCTATAAGGGGATACATTTATCCTTTTTAAATTTTCAAATCTGAACTTTCGGTATCATACTCCTTAGTTTCATTCAGTGAGCAGTTGACATACATTTGAAACACTTGTCCCATTATGCTAGCCTTGACTCAGTTTACCACTTAACATTTATCAAAATCCCGCTATTAGAAAACGAACTTATGCGTAGCACTCATGTGCTTTTTTCTTCCTACCGGTGGGCCAAATTACACTCACTATGCAATTCACTGGCTTGCCGAACAACCTCGTGGTGCCAGCTGTGTGATTCGGGATCATCCCGTTCCTGCAAATCGTTCAGCAGCAGTGTTCCAGGACGTGGTGGCTTTTTGCCCAGCAAGCGATCTCCTTATAGAAGCCACATATGCCTGTTTAACAACACTGTGCTGTGGCGGATATGACTCGCCACTAAATAAAGTCACTACCCCTTGTCTCATACTGGCGAAGCATTATATTCCAGCAACTCAATGCCGAACTTGTGTGGAACATTGGGTCCCTGTTTGACAAACGAACAAACAAAAGGCGAATGAACTGGACAATCAGTCACCGGCTCCCGATGGACGCGATTCCCTGAATTCGCTCCGCTGCGTTGCGGGTAGGCCATTCGGCCAAAGACTCAGGGTGGTGTCCCCTAAGTCAACACCCTACTTCGGCTTAGGCAACCGGGTAGTATCTCGTCCTCTGACGAAACCATGGACTTTGATCTGTTGTGTTTTTTAACGATATATGTACCTTCCGTGTAGTTCCATGCTTTTTGATGACTCCATGCCTATTCGTAGGCTGTTACAAATATGTATTCAATTCACTGTCTTTCTACACCACACTAGACTTTGGATTTGCCCAACATCTTCAAAACACTGCACAGATGAGTGAGCTGCGGGGAACGTTGCTCTACATGGCCCCCGAAATTTTCTGTGAAGGTGTTTATCATCCTTCATGTGATCTCTGGTCGGTGGGAATCATAATGTACGGTGAGTTTGTCTCATCCAGTTTTGGCTTTCTAATGAAAGTTTCAGCATCCTGAATCCATCCTATATTTACTGTCGCGTTGGAGATCAAATCGCTACGGAAGCAAGCGGCGCCATATAGATCAATCCAGTACTTTGCTCCGTCTCAAATAGCTGCTTTCTGCATTTCTCATATCCCACATTCGTTTAGATGAAAAGAACTAAACCAACCCATATGTGATCTTTTCTACTGCTCATTCACAAATGCAAAGTAGTATGTCAGGGCTAATGTGCCGTACTCTTTCCAATCCGCAACAGAGCATTTTCAACTAGTGTTGTGCGGCTTAACAGCGTATATTTTCGTCTGAAAGGCATTGCAGTAACCAACATATATATATATATATATATATATATATATATATATATATATATATATATAGTTGGTAGCATCCGGTTTCGGATTTGCCTGTCACTGTGGTCAGCCACAGTACGCCTGCGCCTACAGAGGGACCATGGATGACTTGCGCTGCACCACCCACAGCTCCATCCACACACCCTATATCCAGTATATATATATATATATATATATATATATATATATATATATATATATATATATATATATATATATATATATATATATATAATCAGTTGCGTCTGTTTCCTGGTACGCTTGTTGCCGCAATTTCAACTAGTGTTAGGGCACTTTCGCTTAGCACTTTGCATTGCACTACCTACAACTTCCTTCTAACACCTTCCATATCCAGTGTTTATTCAAAGTGATATGACAGGGAGGCATACGGGTGAGAGTTACCATTCATTGGGATCTGCTGCACCCTTCTTTTACCATTCAAATCATTTCTATGTACTTGGGGAAATCGGGCGTGTCACATGTACACGAGTCTGTTTTTTGATTGTAGCCCGTCCCACATTGGATGAAGCTACTCTTTGGGCCCGGCACCATAATCGTGACTGTGAGTTCTTCCTTCCCCAGCAACCATTAACTGTCTCTCGGCCCTAGCAACCGAGGTGAAGGATGTTCGACAAATATGTACCTTGCCCACATTCACATTCAGCACAATCAGACCGGGGATATCCATCAACAGCTAACACTTAAAATTTCCGAAAATAAACACTCAGGCACACGTACAGACCAACTGGAGCGATGATGTAGTACCCTTGCCACATTTACCGCATTATTAGACCAGATTAGTAAATGGAATCGGAAGTTACATACTTAAAGAGCGCCGAAACTTGCTTCTTCAACTTTTTCGTCGCCTCTTCGATATTAGCCCATCGTGACCACGTTGATAACTTCGCAAACCGCCTTGGCCACTACACACGACCGCGTGCACCACAGTACCTTGTGCTTAATTTCACTGGGCTCTACTTTATCGTCACAAGGCGCTTCGTAATCGGCGTATTTCTCTTCTTGATGTGACAGTCCCGGTTCACCTGAACAACGGCATTCTTGATGTGATCACGCCATTGGCGATATTCCACTGTAGGGCATATAACGCTGCGATAAGGCTAGTGTTACTGTATGGATCAGAGACATGGCCACTTTGCAATGAAGACAGTAAACGCTTTGCCGTGCTTGACCACCGGTACTCACGTTTGATGGGAACACCGGGTGAGCAATGCCGAAGTCCGTCAGCTGGTTTTTGGCAAGAAGCCTTCCTACACCTCTCTCGAGTGTTTGATTAACCTTATTTGCTTGGGTTGGCTAGGCCATGCCCTCCGTATGCCCGTAGACCGGTTTCCTCTGAGTGCATTACATGCCGTGGCTGCACCAAATTGGACAAAATCTCGAGGTTGTCAATCCATGACGTGGCATAAGAGCATGAAGAAATTGACTGAGAAACTTGGTCAGGCTGGTGCGTGCCGTCTTCGTGAGTGAGAGCCCCGGGATGGTCCACACCAGTGGCTGGAGGCATGGTGCAGTCGGCCAGCAAGTAGCGTTCATGCACGCGGCTTCTTTTATTTAGATGTTAATTTTCGTTCCATCCTTATTAGTTTACTTCGCCTTCTCCTTAATTCCATTTTCTATACTTTCTCTTTGCGTTCAACCTTATTTTCTTTCTCATATTACTCTGGCGCTGTGAGTCTGGACAACTAGGTTCACCGCATTTCAGTGCCGGGATCATAGTTGTTTAAGTGAACTGGACTGAACTTCCACCGTCAACATCAGTCCGTGATTAAATCACTTAGATCATATTTTGGTAACGTGGCTCCGGTTTTCTCGCGTTCCTGTTCCCTGTACTAAGTTGGTAATACAGCAAGTGCTTCGGTATTATAGCCGAATCTATACGACGGACATATCCAAGCGATCTCAGATGTCGCAGTCAACTCCATACCTGTCATTTGGACGAAGCACTTCCGTTTCAGAATCTCTTATATCAACTTTTGCACAGAATTCGACGCAGTCAATGTTGATGAAGCGATTCTGGTAACAGACGTTCTTTCTGTACAGCGTTCATGTGTCGCTGCGCCATAAACTTATAACACCACCAGCTTTGCCCCAACCGTCAGCTGGTGATTCCTCCACACCCGATGTCCCAGCTTACCAAATACAACACTCGTCTTGACTAATTACATGCTTAACTCTCTGATCATTTGCAGATCTACTGACAGCTTGTTACTTAAATGGCAAAATTTTAAAGAAGTTTCCAAAGGGGTTATTCAGCGATCTAAAGTTGAGGCCAGTCCACGGATTCCTCTCCAGGTAATGACCAAAAAGGGCTGTCTTGCTTGTGTTGATGGTGAGTTCGAATATGGCCGCTTTCGTGGTACGAGCCGTTGTCATACGTCACAACTCATCCTCATTGTGTATAAACAACGCGCAGTCGTCAGCAAACAACGGTTGGTTGTCTCATGCACTCGGGTTCTCCCACCGAAACGACTCACCACCATCAATGCGATGCTCTACATGGACACCATAAACACAAGTCATCATGGCAGCTAGGCAAATGTTAACGAGACGGGGGCTAAGACATGGCCTTGCTTCACACCATACACGACGGCAAACTCATCCGAGGTTTGTCCACACAACTGCACCCTCGCTCACGTACCACGATGCAACCTTTTAGTTGGACCTACAAGCTTGGTGGGGCAACCAAACGTACTCAGCACCAACCACACTGCCTCGCGGTTCCTTGCGTCAAATGGCTTGGTGAAGTCAACAAACAGGAAGTTCAATGATTGGTGTTGCTCTCTGCATTCCTTCTGCAGTTGACGAGCTGCGGCTTGAACGGGATCCGCATTGCTCTTCCGCCACGTTTGGTTTAACGACTTTAGTGACGAGGCGCTTGAGTCGAGTTGGTGCGGTCACCTTCCCACGCAACTTAAGGAGTTGATGTTACGATAATTCATGATGCATTGCTCGTTCCTTTAACCGTTGTATCGTGGTAACACACGGTCATTGTTCAGCTCACCCGGCATCTGTTATTCAAGCCAAACGCGTCCCACCAAGTGGTGCAGCGCATGTAGAATTGCAGGTGCGCCATTGCTTAGCACCTCTGGCGGTATCCCGTTGGCTCCGGCGCACTTGCCGTTTCGCAGCTGAGCAATATCGGCTTGTGCCGGAGCCGACGGATACCTCCAAAAGTGTTTAAACACAACGGACCCGCGTTGGTAAATTCTCTGCACCACTTGGCGCAACGTGTGTGGAAGAGCCGTCTGAGCTGAATGATACACTTTTGCTACCACAAACAAAGGCAAAGGGAGCAAGCAATGTGCTACGAATAATCATAGTATCAATTTGCGGAGTTGTTTGGGGAAAGTAATCACACGGATTCTGCACTATCGTCGCTAAGTTCGTTGACCCAAAAGTGACGGAAGAGCAATAGGGATTCCGTTCGGGCTGCAGCACCATATTTATGGTGTTCACGGCTCGTCAGCTGCAAGAGAAATGCCGAGGGCGCTACCAACCATTGCAATGGCTGTTCGTAACTTCACCGCCTACCCTTAGCCTAGAGTTAACCATCTTGTCTCATAGTCTTGCGGCACGGTTTCGAGCCAGCGTAAGGGCAGGGCGACCGTCGCACTATCCCTAGCCCTCGTACGACCGGTAGTGGTTGCGCGGCACCGAAGCGTCGCTACTGCGTACTGGTGTACTGCTGATGCCTTACTGTGACTTCACCAAGGCATTTGAAATGGTGAACCGCGAGACTCTATGGCTCGTGTTGTGTATGTTTGGCTGCCGGAGTAAGTTTGTACGTCTAATTGAATGTCTACACAGTGGTATGCGAGTTAGGGTACAGCTTTGTGGGCAAACCTCGGATGACTGCTGTGGTCTCTCGTGTGAACCATGGCTGTTTCCTAGCCCCCGCCCCGTTTAATATGTGCGTAAATACTATGATGCTTTGTACTTTTGATGCTGGTTGTGCTTACGATGTCCGTGTGGAGCATTGTGCTGATGGTGGGTTGTTGAACCTCTGTTGTTTCGGTGCGAAAACTCTAGTCTGTGAGACAACTATCCGTATGTTGCTGCTTACCGATGGCTGCGCGTTGTTCGAACTCTGCGCTGATGAGTTGCAGTGCATGATGACGGATCTCGATTGGGCAGCGGTCAAATTCAGGCTCACCATCAACACAAGCAAGTCTGTTTGTCTTTTTCAGCCTTCACCAACAGTTGGCTCTGTGCGTCTGCCGCAAATCCAGGTTGTATATGACGCGTTGGAGATGGCATCGAAATTTTGCTACCTTGGGGACGTAATATAAACCCATCTACAGATTACGAGCGAGCTGTGCCTCCATGTATGGAATGCGGCTGCTACATTTGGCAAACTAGAGGATCGTGTGCAGAAGAATCAGCAGCTTACTGTCAGAACAAACTGAGTACATACTGGTCGATGGTGCTCCCCGTTCTTCTGAACGTCAGTGAAAACTGGACGCTATCTGGAGCGCGTTCATCAACAGGGCCTGTGTGATGTTCTACGCATCGGCTGCGGTGAACTAGTTTCATACACGAAAGTGCTGCACCGCAGTGGCATGTGTGCAGCGTACTGCGTACTTCTGTTGAG